TGTAATAAATATTACTCATATTATTTAACCTGTATTGGGCTGCTTCCTCATTTGTAAAATGGGGATATTAATCCTGCCTCGGTGGGCTATTATGAAGAGTAAGGGGATGTAAATAATGTGCTTGGCACAGTGCCTGGCACATAGAAGTACTGAATAAGTGGTAGTTATTATCCTTATTCATTTATTAATAAAATATTGATTAATAAAATATTGCACTATGTGCAAGCACTTTGTTAGGCACTGAGAGTCTGGCATGGACAAAACAGACACACTGCTCGTATGGACTTTATTGCTTCTCTAATCTCATGGCGGGTTATGGATATTGTGGCACTGTTTATCAGGCTGCTGCTTATACAGCAATGCTCTTGTTTAGCTTTCCCATCAAGTATCCTGATACTATGTTAATGGATACCCTTTGCATTGAAATTCACGTAGGGTTTGTCTGAATGGGAAATTATGTTCTGTGGTTTTCTAAAACAGTTAATGAAATTTGAATACGTGACTCACTGGATGCAATTTTGAAAGGTAAGGATATTCTCCATATGCCATTGATTTTATGTTGTGTTTCTTAAAGAAACGTTCTAACTTTGGATTCATTTTCCTGTGGTTCTGTTAGAGACTTAATGCATTAAAATTGGAAGAGAAGGCAGAGACTTATTAACTTGAGGGCCTGACAGTTTTATTTAAAAAAACTTTTTTAGCCAAAAGAAAAAATGAGTTATCATTTCTGATCTTCCCTGAGTAACCTTGGATTTTAAATAGCCTTTAACAGCTACAACCAGAGAGTACTTTTTAACAGTCAGTTGTGCTTTGTTTGGATAATGTAAAATGACAGGCTAGCACTTTTCAGTTCTTGGCATAGTCTAAAAATATTCATGCCATCTGAATGGTTTCCCCGTGGATTAGAGGTGAAGAGGTTCTACAGCAAAGGTTCAGGCATCCGGAATGGTTTTATTTTCAAATGTTAATTCTCATCATTTTTGCAGTGAATACTAGGAAACCACAAGGGAGCTATGTGAGTCTTTTCACAATTAATTGGCTTAATCTGGAGGAGCCTTTAGGAGAAGCTGCTGAAAGAATAAGGAGCCTGGTTGATGAGGCCTGAAATTACAACAGCCATTGATCAAGGGTTGGTTACATTGCTTCCTAACCTTCAGACTCTTAATAAGGAGAGTGCCCAGCCAGCGTGGCTCAGTAGTTGAGCGTCAGCCTACAAACCAGGAGGTCATGGGTCGAATCCCTGTCAGGGCACTTGCCCAGGTTGCTGGCTGGGGCGTACAGGAGGCAGCCAATCAATGATTCTCATCATTGATGTTTCCATCTCTCTCTCCCTCTTCCTTACTCTCAGAAATCAATAAAAATATATTAATTAATAAATAAATAAGGATAGTAAAAATTCTAATTTGGTTAAGACCCTTTTTGGAGAGCCAAAATACACAATATCCACTTTATCCTGTCATTCCTTTTATATGGATAAAATATGATGCTATTTTTATTTAAAATAGGAAATGGAAATCTGAAAATGAGAAGGTGTAGGGATTGAAGCCCAATGCTCTTGGCCACTCTCTCGTGTCGTCCACTATGGAATCCATTGCTCCCGGCCTCTTGTTTTTCCTCTTCCTTAGTCCTCTCACTCATTAGGTTTTAGGATTAGTTTCAATATCTCAGCTCCCTCCAGTGAATCATTCTTTACTCAGTCTTGAGTTCAGTGCATTCTTTAAAAAATCATAAAACAGGATTTTGAAAAGCAAACCAAAGTTTGCTTTTGAAGCTCTTCTTTTACCAGAACTGATAAGAGAATTAAATATAAAATCATCTCTTTTCGGATAAGTCAGAACTGATGTAGGATTTGGTTTTAGAAGTTGCATGCACAAATTGCAGTGTAGTGCAGATATGACAGTATTCATCAAAGCTTATCTTCATATAGTACCTTTCTCTGCCTGCAAGTCATTCTCACAAATTGAGACTGAAGGAAGCATGACAGCCAGAGGTTGGAATCGTGGCTCCACTGTGTGACCTTTGGCAATTACTGAACCTCTCTGAGCTTATTCTGCTGTAAAGTATAACCTATTTCCAATATTCTTGTGAGAATGGACGTAAGCTTGTTTGTACAAAATACCAGGCAAGCAGTAATTTGAATTTATTGTTATTTAATATTTTTGTTAAAACTTCTTAACTAAATTTTAAAAATAATTTTATACTTGACAGTGCAATAAAATTTAGGCCAATTCAATGCTTTAAGTATTTGTATATGAAAAGTTAAAATTGTACTTTGCAGTTAAGATCACCAAGCATTTCTTGAATATTTACTAAATGCCAGGCAGCGTTGTAAGTGTTGGGAGTGCAGGGTAAAAGGTATGACCCTAAACTTCAGTGTGCAGAGCCTGGTGGAGGAGGAGATAAAGATGTTGATTCGTAGGGTGAATGCTGTGGTTAACGAATGGGAGTTGGGTGGGGCAGGGGTCATAGGAGAAAGACGTAAGCGGAATCTTGAAGGAGAAGGTGAGAAGCACAAGTTTCTCAGGCAGGGAGCTGGGAAGGGGTTCTCCAGGCAAAGGAACAGAGGAGAAGAGAGGGATTAGACACTGGCAGCCACTTGGCACGACGAATAAGTTTTTATTTTTCCTGGAGCTATAACAAGGTCCCAGATCATGAAAGGCCTTATGCTACAATGTTTGGATTTTATTTTGATGTTATTTTGGGGAAGCATTTGAAAGATTTTGTGCCAGCGAGTGACATAACTAAGTATGTCACTGAGAAAAATTTACTACACCAGTTCTCTCGATTGTATTTCACTGTTTCGTTCTGGTTCTTACTAGTCACGCCCTGAATCGACTTCCATAGCAGAGGACATAATTATCTTGTTTAAACTAAGACTATCGTCACAGCGATGTTAGACACTGTACATTCATGGTCTTTGTTGAAAGCTATAAAAATTGTCACGCAGATCTTTAAATTTTAGTAGCTGACAGCAGTGAGACACACAGCTCATCACATCTGACAATCTCATTTTTAAGGCACTGTAGCCTGAGGCCAAGTGCTTTGGGCACTGTCCAGGACCCTCAGCCTTTTAGCACACTTGGCACCAGGACGTCAGGGACGTTGGCTCCAGTGCGTGTCTCACAGGGTAAGGTAATGATCCTTCACCATAAGTACATTGTTCTTGACATGAGCAGTAAGGAACCACCGGTTGATGTGCTTTATGTGGCACGTGACCCAGTTTCTTTCTGCAGCCTGACTTAGAGAAGCAAGAATAGTTGCTGTACATAACCTATGGGACCTCCTGGTTCCTGGCCCCTCACCCTTTCTGCAGACAGGTAACAGCTGTTTCTACTCACTGCCTATCTCACCCCATTTCTGTCCACAAGCAAGAATCAGGTTTGGCCCTAACTGGTTTGGCTCAGTGGATAGAGCGTCGGCCTGCGGACTGAAAGGTCCCAGGTTCGATTCCAGTTAAAGGCATGTACCTTGGTTGCGGGCACATCCCCAGTAGGGAGTGTGCAGGAGGTAGCTGATTGATGTTTCTCTCTCATCGATGTTTCTAACTCTCTATCTCCCTTCCTCTCTGTAAAAAAATCAATAAAATATATTTTTTTAAAAAAAGAATCAGGTTAGGAGTCCCTTCCTCTGAGTAGAAAACCAATGGTTTTCTTGATTGTGCCCTGGCTGTTTTCAGGTTTCTTGCCTTGGTTTCTAACCTCTGTAGGGAGTCACTAGGGTCCGCCCTTTCTTCCCCTCCAGGTCAGGGGCAGTACACATGTTCTTCTCTGTGAGCCAGCCTTCTGCCCAAGAAGCTGTGTTTGACCTTGTCCTTGATTGTCCTCAAATCTTTCAGATCTGCCTAAACTCCTGACTCTGACCCTGCTTGGTGCTAATTTCTTAAAACATAGGTTTTATAAAAGCAGCATAAGAATGTCACCTAATGGTGGTTTTGAACAAGCCCAATTCTATAACAGAACAAATTAAGAGACATAGTGTAACGGGGGTGGGGTTATGTGGTTTGGAGTCAGCTTCCCATTTATGGAATTGGATCTACCGATGAAGGTATCGGTGTGCTGGTTACTGAGCGAGGTATCTCACACACATCAGCATTGCAGCCCTTCCAGAGAGGTTTCCATGCAGCCGTCTCTGCTCATAGACCTGCTCAAGATACACAGCTCCTCAGGGAGGTTCTGAGGTTCACCTCCAGATGTCTTTCTGCCTGTGCTCCTTTCACCATCCAGCCCTGCCTCTCACAGTGATTCACCAGATAACGTGAATGTTTAGTTAAATAATGCATTACCCCGGTATTATGCTTTGAGGTTTATAAAGTGCTTTCATGTTCATCTCATCTGACTTGCTGAATAACTCTTGTGAGGTAAATGTAAATGTCTATTTTACAAGAGAGAAAACGGAGGCTCACTAAGATACAGTGATTTGCACAACATGAAACAACTTGTGACACCACCAATGTTCATAAACTTTAAAAAAGTCAAAGGGTTCTTGAACCCTTTAAGTGGGGTATGCTTGTATTGTTCACCCTAATGAGCGTAGGCACTGCGTACTGTTTGTTGCAACAGCCGAAGACTTATTGATAACATTGATCCCCAAAGGGGAAAGGTGTGACGTTCCTTTTAGCCCACTTCTAAATTTCCTCTGCATCAACTGTGGTTTATTCAGACTCTCTATGTGATGCTTATTTTTTCTGCCTGATTACTTCGTGTACATTCCACATATGAACATACTGAATTAGAAATTGTATATCTACCTCACAGGATTGTCTTACATCAGGCAACAAACAAACAAAAAAAAAATCTTTTACATGTGCTTTTATTTTCACATTGAAAATATTCTTTGCTTCAGTCTTCATTAGGCTCTTAAGGCTGATAGGACTACAATGAAAATATATTGATGTAGTATTTTACTTTGTGTTTATACATTTTCTCTTATCCCCCCATCACAGTGATTGATTTATGCATTTTACTATTGGAATCTTTATTTATAGCTACTTTTCCTTTCAGGTTTTGTGATGAAGGAACCTGTATAGATAAAGCCAACATCCTGTATGCCTGGGCAAGAAATGCTCCCCCTACCAGACTCCCCAAAGGTACATCTGGAGCCTCTTGGACAGTCTTACAATAAGCTGCTTGATTTCTGATTCCAAAGTACTTTTTGTTATATGTCCTTTCCAACAGTTGTGGACAATGTTCCGTTCTGCAGTTCCACACTAAAAAAGTACCAGTATGGCTTGCTTTGTATTGAAAAGGTTTCATTTAGGGAGTTACTCTTTTTCCCTGTAATTTGCCCACATGACAGTTTAGATAGAAAACAACCAAGTTCACCTCAAGACACCTTTGGCCTCGGGCACATTGGTTCTGGCCAGCAGGAGAGGTTCAGGGGCCCGGACAGCCAGGAATGAAATGAACTGCTGCTTCAGCAAACAGATTATTTTTATAGTCCTGGAACCTGGGTATTTAGTAGGATGCCAAACCTCACTGGCTTTCTGACCTCACCTCTAACTATTCATAGCTTCCAATGTGTGAGTGAATTACCAGACTCTCTTTTATTACCTGAATGTTTCTTAACATCAAAGCGAAAGCACCATTCCATTACAGAATAGGTCTGCCATGGTGGGGGTGGGGGGGAGCGCGGAAGGGGGCTTGGTCAGTACATAGTCCTCTCCTGCCTCAGTAACTCCTGTCAGCTCTAACTGGCGTCTGGTTTGCTTTGCTTCAGAATCCTCTCTATAGTTTGCCAGGCAGCCACCACCAAGCAGGTTTGGAAATTAATAAGGTTGTCCGTCATGAATTTGTTGACATTTTAAAGACCCATGAGTAGAGCAGAAAAAAAATATCTCTCCACCTCTCAATATTTTCTCTGTAGATAATTTTTAGCTAACTAGCAAACTCTATTAATAGTAAGACTATTAGGAACCCTTCAGAGTCCAGAAATTTATTGGCATACTAGAGTTTTTAATCTAGTTGGTAACAGTTTCCTCAATAACATTTTTGCAGATACCTGTTTTCATATGGAAAGAAAAGTAATTTCTCTGAGAGGCTCCTATATTCAGTCAGAAAATAAAAATGAATATGAATATATACAAAGTAAAATGTCTTGCATAATCAAGGAAAGAATTTTGTTTCACTTTATTCTGTTTCTTTCAAAATGAGCGAATTGTCCTCTTAAAGTGTGGGTGGTTACCCTGGTTCTGAGGAGGGAACTATGCACAGAATTCTATCAAAGCTTTGAGAAGGATTGAAAGGTTATATTAGAAGTTATCAGAAAATGCCTAGTTTATTTTCATTTTCATATTATAATTTCATGTGATATGCTATTTTATTTCCCTTTGGATTTCACAGATCAGTAACCTGAGATTAGCTTCATTTTAGGCTTCCATTTCTAAAATATTAATTTATCACCTTTTGTAAATCTTTAGGTGTTGGATTCAAAGTTGGAGGAGAGACTGGAAGTAAATACTTTGTACTACAAGTACACTATGGGGACATTAGTGCATTTAGAGGTAAGTTTTGAAATATTGGAACTAAGCACAACTTTCACTACTATATTGTTTAAAATATATATACTATTATCCACTTAATAAAAGGAAGACTTGACCACACCCTCGGGGCCCACTAGGAAACAACTGTTTTTGTTTCTTTTCATTTGGGACTGTTGGGAAAATTACTTTTATTTTGAAGGGGGTATTGTCTTATGCATCCCACTGTGCTTTCTTCTATGCTGACTTCAGGGTGCTTTGGCTTTTCAATGTATTATTTTATCTACCTGCTTCCATTAGGAGATTCCTTCCAAGCAGCATGGTCAGAGAGTATAGGGACTAGTAAATTATTTAATTCTGTAAGCAAGCCCTTGGGAGCGTCAGCAAGATTTGCAATACCAGGGAGGTTCTCAAACCCTCAGGCTCATGTCAGTGCCTTATCTGTAATCCACACATTCCACTTAATGAACTCATCTATTGACCACTGTATTTGTGCAGAAACCACCCACCCCTTAGACACTCGCTGCTGAGCACCTGTTGCTCTACCCGTGATTACTATGCACTTCATTGAAATGCTCCTTTTCTTGTTATAGAATCATTAACATGAGGAAGGGGCCCTGTTCCCAAGGCAACCGGGTCTGGTGCTTGTTATTTCTTTTGCTGTATTTAGTTAAACTTCAGCTGAATTCTAGGTTCACACTCCTTTGTTCATGGGAGTGTAAACATTGAGCAGGCTTCTCCTTGGCAAGTCAGTTTTCATACCGTCTTGCTGACTTATCCATATTTCCCCAATTCTCTATTTTAACATTACATTCCTATTAACTAACCAGATACATTTCCCTCTCTCGATATATTATCTTTCTGTCCCACATCTAAGTCTAGAAGTACATGTCCATCTACACCAGTGGTTCCCAAACTTATTTGGCCTACCGCCCCCTTTCCAGAAAAAATATTACTCAGCGCCCCCTGGAAATTAATTTTTTTAAAATTTTAATAGCAATTAAACAGAAAGATATATTTATTAATGTTTCTACCTTTTTCGTAAAATATAGTAAAGAAAGGTGTAAATTAGAAACATTGAAGTTTGAAATTATGAAACTATTTATTGAACTCAGAATAGAAAGGTAATACAAAAAAAGTTAAAACAAATGCACCTGTGGCCATCACCGCCCCCCTGGATCGCTGCAGTGCCCACCAGGGGGCAGTAGCGCCCACTTTGGGAATCACTGATCTACACCTACTAATGTCCCCTGGGGCCTTAGCTGGGACATTCCACAGATTCTCAGCATCCAGAACGGGGACAATAAATGTTATCTTCCTCTGGGAAAAGATGTTGGGAAGAATACTTTTATGTCATTGAAAAATTACAATTAGTACTTCAATTAGATGTATCATCAATTAAGCAAGCTCCTGTGGACCAGCCCATGAATCCAGCATCCAAAGAAAACGTGTTTTCCTATTAAAACATGCTTTGAGTTATATATAAATAGCTTTTCATTTTGGGAACAGAACCTAATCTTACATTGTTAACTGTAGTGCTAAGACAAGGTTTTGTTGAAAACAAAGGAATAATTAATGTTGTGTTTAAGGAACAAAGACAGAAATTATGTGCTCTAAAAATTCACTGTGTTGGTGTCAGAGTGCTGACTTCCAAAGCATTGACAATACTGTCATTTTTCTAAAAAGGCAAAGAAGGCTTTCCCTGACCACACAACTAACATATCCACACATGCTCCCCGCTCCCCGCTCTTCATCCCTCTATAGGACCCCTAGACTTTCCTTTTCAACCTAATTCCTCTTAGCTTTGTAGTCCTAGCAGATACTGCATTGATGCTCTGGGGAAATGGATGATATATACGATTTCTTAAAATATATTACTGTAAGAATTCAATTTAACTTAATTTATTACTGATGAGGAATTTGGGCCTGGGGATTATTATGCTAAGCGAAATAAACCAGTCAGAAAAAGACAAATACCATATGATCTTACTAATATGTGCACTCTAATAATAAAATAAACTGATGAACAAAATAGAAACAGAGGCATGGATACATGGAACAGACTGACAGAGGTCAGAGGGGGTGGAGGGACTGGAAAAAAGATGGTGAAGAGATTAGCCAAAGAACATAAATACATAGCCTGTGTTGACACAGACAACAGTGTGGTGAAGGCCAGGGGAGGGAGAGGGTTGGGTGGAGGTGGGCAAAGTGGGGGGAAATGGGACATCTCTAACAGTGTCAACAATATTTTTTTTAAAAAGGAATTTGTAATTTGTTTAATCTAGGTGTAATTAAAAAGTATTGATAGTTACTAGTAAATATATAAAAGATTGATGCGAAACTTGTATATTAATTTTTATTTTTCACTTTTTTGAGAGTCATTTTTGTGAAAGAAGGTATGAGGTAGAAGGATTACTGGTGCTGTAATTCATAGACCTTATTGTAATATAATGAAAATATAAACAATTTTTGTTCATGTAACACTTAGTTGTATTAGGTGTTATTTGTGCCTTAAGTGATACATGTCTTAGAATAGTAAATAAACACATAGGAAAATATCAAATCTCACTAAAACAATGAGAGATCATTTTACATTTATTAAATTAGGGGTGAGTGGAGATTGAATTCTAAATCCTAGGACTGCCAGGGTTTGGATGAATCTGGTACAGTTTGGGGAGCTTTATAAATTAGTGCAGTGTTTTGAAATGCAACTTTAGTGTATTATATACATTTTACATAGAACATTAAAATCTTGCCCTAGGCTTTTATTCTAAAGAAATAATTTTTTTTCTTTTCCTAAAAAATCATCTACCTAACCATGCACCATTAACTATTAATATGAAAAACCAGAAGTTAACAAATATCCCTTAATAGGGGACTAGTTAAATAAATGTTATAACAACAAAAATAGCTAAGCATAAAGTTTTATATAGACTACATAAAAATATATGTATGCTTATATGTTTGCAAGGATTATAAAGAAGAAGGAAGAACAGGGAACAGTTAATAAACATGAAAGACAGGATGGTGTGGATTTTTTCCCCCTTCAGAATGTTTTAACATCATATTTTTAAATTCCTCAAGTAGAAGCACTATGCTAAGTCCCTCAGTACCTGCCAGTGAGTGTATGCATTCCCTCCCCCCACTCTCCTGACAGAGAAGAGTTCATGTAAATCTCTAGATGCCTGATTTGATTTATGAAAGGAGTGACTTGTACTTTTAAAAGTTTCTACACTGTGATTGTACACTTGCCCCCAGATGGCACCTAGAAGTGGAAAATAATTATATCATCATATCGTCTAATGATTAAAAATACATCATAGGTGTTATATATGTATTATACACTCATATATAATCATATTAGTATCAATGAAGATTTGAACTTAACCTTGTTCAGACTATTGATGATGACATACATTGTGCATCAGAAGCAGACTAAGGCTGTGTGGACATTACTGCACTCTTCTGAAAAGTGGGGAGTATTTTGCGTAAGGGTATGAGCCTTTTTCCATACAGGGAAGGTTTTAGACAGGGGACATGTCTAGGACTTTTATTTAATGAAGCACCAACATTGAAGGTAAAATTTCTTCTAAAATTTGTTGGACTGTGGTCAAGTATCGGGGAGAATATAACCTGAAGCCAAGTGGGTATGATCTCTATTAGTAGGAAAAAATTGGGTGTGAGTTCTGTGGGATAACATGCCGTGTTTGTTTTGTTTGGGTTTGTGTTTGTTTGGGAAATTGCACAGAATGTGAAGCTGTGAAAACATCATTTATAAGTAGCCAACTTTATTAAATGCCATGTCAGTCGGAGTGTCAGACCTGTGCTGGGTATACTAATCTTCCTGCCCACGGGTGTTTAGTATATTCCAGCAGGGGAAGGAAAAACAAAAACAGAGTTTATAGGCAATTGTAGAAATGCATTCCAGGCCTGGAGGCTGTGGAAAGGCAGTGGACGGGTCTGCCCGGAAGGGAAGGGGCCCGTCATCTGTGAAAGGCGTCTTAGAGGATGGAACCAGAGCAAGGATTTGAATAGTGAACAGGAGCCCCCTGTAGACAGGGGAAGGAGAAGACACAATCCAGACAAAGGTAAAGGCATTGTGTAGACACAGGAGAGTGAAAAGCCTCATGTCCACAAGGAACTGGTGGTCATTTGGCGTTACTATGCAACGCAAAGGGGGAAGTGGCAAGAAATGAGAAGAGAGGTGAACGGTGGGGACCAGACCATAAAGATTCTTGTTCAGACCTGATTCTGAAGGCACTGAATGTTTATTAGCCAAGCAATAACCCAATCAGATTTCCACTTCAGTCCTAGTCTTGAGGGCATGGAAATGTTCCTACTGGCTTTACGAAGAAAGGACCGGGGCTCCAGGAGGCCATGGTGAGCCAGGACTGGGGCCCTGGAAGGCCAGCATTCTATTTTTAAATGTAGACTTTCTATAAATTAATATTCTGTGGAAAACAGAATGTAATCTAATTAGAAATGAGAGTCCCATATAGGCAATAGCATAGTACAGGGGTTAGATGATTCAACCAGATGGGCTGGCAATGACACTTGCTGATTTTGTTACCCTCACCAAGTTTCTAAACCTCCCTGCTCACCTCATCTATAATGTGGGATCATAATGGTTCTTAAAAAGGTACCTGTAAGTACTCAGTAAATGTTAACTAGTGTCATTATAGTCCCTGTGAAAGACTTAAGGGAACATAAATTCTCCCTAAATGCATAGTCATCATAGTTGCCCATAATATGAAGAGTATATTGGTTACCTTTTAAGGGTATTGTAATTTCTCATTATGTTTAGACAGGACTGTGTTCACGTCTGTCCCATTGCTGGTAGAAGTTGCCTAGTTTTGGTCTGTGTGTCCTGTTCTCCGCAGCAGTTTTGTTATTCGTAGTTCAGAATAACAAAGAAACTACAAGATCAAGTTCCTCTACTTAAGGAGATTAGAATAGTGGGAACTAGAGATTCCTCTTGGTCCTTTTTTTCTTTCTATGTTTTTTCAATAATCTTGTTCCAAAGA